GATCCTTCCACCCGCACTATGGCCCTGGGGTCGACTTAACCTCTAACAGAAATGAGTACCAGGAATCTTCTTGAGGGGTAAAGGGCGGCCGGCACGTAAGGCTGACAACTTTACCGCCATCTTTGAGCCGATTGTCTAGATAATGTGGGACCCTCAACGTCTCACAACCCTATAGGCCTCCATGGTTTCTTACAGGGATAGCTTTACCTCTTTTTTAGTTACAACAGTTAAGATGGTTTTACTTTTTCGTTATTATAAAATGAATTACGGGTATAGGCACCCTTTATCTCGAGGTAAATATTCAAGAGACATGAAGTCCAGACATGCAATAACACAGACCGATGTGTACCATCATCTGTCCTGCACTGTCCTCAGCTCTGCTTGTAGGTTACTCGCTTGGGTCAGATCATCCGTTTCTCCAAAACGTAGGTGGACACTGACCTCTGTGAGAACCTCAAATCCAATATGGGCTCAGTCTGGGATGTTGGCATTCTGTGACCACTGCCGAATGTCATTCGCTACTCGACCGTGAAATGTTAACATTTTGATTATGCTGGCCTTTTGACGGAGACGTGTCACTGGAATTTTGTCTCACTGCTTTGGAAATGGAGTGCAGTCCTTAGAGCTTTGTGACAACTCGGTCAGAAGTAACGTGTTAATGTTAGGTTACTTTATCATGCAGAATGTAAGTTGCCATGGCTACACGAACCAAGTGACCCAGCAAAAACTTCACACTTGTACGCACAAAGCTCTACTCCAATGACAATTTTATTTATTTGTGTTTGCTTAACAACGTTTTTTGTAGCTCAGATTATACAGTGTCGAATGATAAGGCTGATTCATGAATGATGAATTAGGAAAGACGTGGAAAGAACAAAAGACCGCCTTTGTGGTATAGTGGCTAGAGTGCCTGGTTACAGATCCAGAGATCCCGGGTTCGATTCCTGGAGCTACCAGATTTTCTGAGAAGTAGTGGGTCTTGAACGGGGTCCACTCAGCCTCGTGAGGATAATTGAGGAGCTATTTCAAGGAAGTAGCGGCTCCCGTCTAGAAAACCGATATTAACAGCCGTGGGGATTAGTTGCGCTGATAACGTGACACACTCTATCCGCTAAAGTTGGTACTAACTTCGCCGACAAGTGGCAGTAGCTCGGTCGGTATAGTTCGCTTGCGGACTACAGGCCACGAAGTTTGTTCTTTTTGTGGAAGAAAGAGGTAATGATATTTTTATAAGTATTAATAAATGTATTAATATAATGTGTTTTAATATTGATTGAAAAGTTATTAAAAGTTCTTTTTATAAGTCTTAAAACTAAACACCTTCTCGAATTATAAATTAGTTCGTAAGTTTATTTCTAGAAGAAATCTCGAATTGAAGCTAGGATACGTTTAGTTCAGAATGGGATCGAGGGCGGGCTCTTCTAGTGAAAAGTAAAATGAAAATTCGGGTATTATAAACACTCTGGAAAATTATTTGAAAAGCTTGGCGACTATCAGCTTCTACGTGGGGTCTACGCTCCGAGACGTTAGTAAAAACTTGACTTTCCTAAGGGAATATATTAAAGATTATTTCTTCCGAATATAGAGCAGTGAAGTGGAATTTTTATGCTGCTCATTTCTGGTTAAAAATATGTTCCGACTGGATTTTAGAAGGCCAAGGCAAGGCGCCGGTAATCTGTAAGAATAGAGACGTCGCGACGGTCGTCTATGCATCAAAAAGCTACAAAACTTTCAAGGTCTCTGGGGCAGGCCATGAGCCAGAAAAGACATTTTTTTCACTCTGTATTACCGCAGTGTGTCACTGTATTCGGCTCGGGATGAGTTGTCTTGATAGAGGTTCGTGTCTTTCAGCAGCGAGCAGTGTCCGTTTAACGACGACGCGTCAACCCAATTTCAAGCTACAAATTCTTTGTTACTATGTGTTTTTTGCGCACACATAATGAACACATGGCAGGGAAGGGTGCACATCGGAATTCTATGAAACCCTGCAGACAGCAAACACACTTTTGTTCGGTCAGGATAATGGAGAAGGAGGTAAAACGAAGACTGAAGGAGTGGGAGGAGGATTCGAAGATGTAGGAAGAAGAAGAGGAGTAAAATGAGAAGGAACGTAAAAATGAGTAGGAAGAGGATAAAAAAGAAAAGGAAATTGATAAGTTACGAGAGAGGAAGAACGAGAAGAAGAGAAATGGACGAGGGATAGGGGAGAAATATAAGTGAGTAGAATCCGGGGGAAGGAAAATAAGTACAAAAAGAAAAAAAAAGACGGCAATATTGAAGAAAAAAAAAAGCCCCTTACAAACGAATGGGGGAGTGGAGTTACGGTTCCATGTATTCTTAACCTCGGCATTAGACGTAGGTGAATGGTAAGCATCACAAAGCCGCCGCTTTAACCCAGAAGAAAGAGCCTTCTGTAACCAAGAAATACGAGGACATGTGGACGCTGTGGGCAAAGATTTTAACTTCAGTGCCTCGTGTGTCTAGGTCGCCTGATGATGACTACTTACGGTTGAAATATATACATAGTACTCGTAATTAAAAATAAAAATAATTTAATGATGTAAGTCTGTATGACTGCTTATCTGATGATCTGTCTGATGTCTCGATTTACACCATATTCTTAACATTAGCAGAGCAGTAACAAAAAAAGGTAAAGCTATCCCTGTAACAGGCCTTGGAGGCCCATAAGGTTGTGAGACGTCGGGGTTCCCACATTTTCTAGACAATCGGCTCATAGTTGGCGGTGAAGTTGTAGGCCTTAAGCGCCAAGTTATCCTTGTAACAGGCCGTGGAGGCCCATAGGGTTGTGAGACGTCGAGGCTCCTACATTTTCTAGAAAATCGACTCACAGACGGAAGTGAGGTTTCATCCGTATGCTCCGGCCGCCCTTTACCCCCCCAGGAAGATTCCTGATACTCATTTCTGTTAGAGGCTGAGTGTAGCCCAGGGCCATACTGCGGCTGAAATGACCTCGGGCAGCATCTTAAAATGAGTTACAAAAACAGAGGATATCATTCGTTGAAGATTGACAGTGACACGGGGACAATATTATTATTATCGCGGTCTCCTCTTTCAGCCTTTATAGGTTAGGCCCTCTGGCTTGTTCCACTTCAGAAAGAACTGAACTCTGCAGACAGCTAAACTCATTGGACCCGTGATAATAACATGCAAAGCCTTTATACACATAGAACAGGAACACCGAAAATACGTGGGTGTACATTCATGCCCCTAGTGGGATTCGAATGTGCGGTCTCAGTGTTCGAGTGACTGAAAGCAGTAAGCATCTTAAAGAGCGCGATCTCTGTGACCGGACAGGTGAAATGTAAAAAAGTAAAGGTATCCCTGTAACGGCCCGTGAAGGCCCATAGGGTTGAGAAACGTCGAGGCTCACATATCTTCTAGAAAATCGACTCACAGATGGCGGTGAAGTTTCAACCGTACGCACCGGCCTCCCTTTATCCCCAGGAAGACTCTGTTAGATGCTGAATCGGGTTCAAGGCCATAGGATTAGGTAAAGTGAAAAATCCAGTGACCTCATCGGGAATGGAAACAGCGTCCTTCCGGCTTGTAGCACAGTGCCTCAACCAAGTACGCTACTATGTGGCCCTAGCAGCAGTCATATCAACAGGAACTGCAGGAAACATTTAACATTTCTCTCG